AAAAAAAAAAAAAAAAAAAAAAGATGTTCCTCAATAAAACATGATTTCTTTAATAGACATGGATTTACTTAGGCTACTTATTTCATCTTTTTTTAGGTTTTAGTAATTTAATCTCTCAAGGAATGACACTTTGTATTGGGATTTAATTCATGTAATAGTTAATATTTTGACTATTATGAAATTCAGTAAATTCACAAAATAATGCAACGATTGTTAGTATCTATCATTATTATTATTTTTTTGTCTGTTTGAGACAGGGGCTTACTGTGCAATTCAGGCTGACCTTGAGTATCCCAGGTTGGTCTCAAACTCACAGTGATGCCCCCGCCTCAGTCTCCAGAGTGCTGGGATTACAGGTGTGCACCGCCATGCCCAGCACCATTGTTAGTATCTAATTTCACAGTATTTATCACCTCCCAAAAAAGAAACCCTGTACTTACTGGTGATCTCTTTTCATTGAGAGTCCTATTAATAGTTGCACCCCACCCCCAACCACTGTCTGTAGCTTTTCTAATCTGGACGATTCAGGGCAATGGAACCACGCACTTTATCATCTGTGGAAACTGATTTCTTTTACTTATTGTATTGTTTTTAAGGTTCATCCACATTGTAGCACGTATTAGCATTGATGCATGCTTATGACTGAATAATCTTCCACTGTACAGACATACTACATGTTAATTATCTATTTAAGAGTTGATGGACATTTGGTTGTTTTCACTTTTTAAAATATTTTATGTGTCCAGGGGCTGGTGAGATGGCTTAGTGGTCTAAAGCACCTACTTAGAACAAGCTTAGCAAAGCACAGGGACCGCGGTTCAATCCCTCAGCACCACATGCCAGCCAGCCCCGCCCCCTGGTGGACTGAGCTGGCCACACACACACACACACACACACAAATAAATTAATTAATTTTAAAAAATATTTTATGTGTCCAATATTTACTTTTGTTAAATATTGGCATTCAATCAATATAGTTAATTTTTATGTGTATTTTTTGTATTTTAGGGAAGGGTCTACAGGGTGTTCAGGGTCTCACTACTAGATTGGACTCCTAGCAATCCGCCTGTTTACAGCCGGATTACACGTGCGCCACCATGCCCATTCTCAGTTCCTGTGTCAGCATGCCCCAGGCATGGGGGCGGCACAGCAGGGCTGGGGATCTAACCCCTAGTCCCTGCACCTCTTGCAGGTGCTTTAATCTGCTGAGCTATTTGGCCAGCCCTTAAAAATATATTTTTTATTATATCTTCCCCTCTTATTGTCCTCCTATATACTTTTCTTCCTCTCCCTTATTGCTTTCTTGTCTAAGAATGATAGTTTCCCTTTCTTTTTTTTTTTTTTTTTTTTTTTTTTTTTGGTATCAGGAATCAAACTCAGGACCTTGCGCTTGCCAGGCAGGCACTTGTGCCACTGAGTTACATCACCAGCCCTACTAAGTATTAATTAATTTGCGGAACCGGGGATTGAACTAAGGCCCTTGTGCTTGCCAGGCAAGTGCTTATTCTACTGAGCCATCTCCCCCGGCCCCCTACTTATTTATTTTTTGAGAAATGGTCTCCCTATGTGATACAGGGTGGCCTTCAACTCACTATGTAGCCCCAGGCTGGTCTTGAACTCACAGAGATCTCCTTCTCAGCCCCCCAAGTACTAGGATTACAGGCTTTCACCACTACATTCAGTTTAGTACTATTCTTGGTGTCAATCATTCTGGCTGGGGTGCGATGGGATCAGAGCAAAGTTTTGTTCTCTCTTATTTTTTTGTGGCCAGCTCAGCCCATCCTGGGGGTGGGGCTGGCACAGCACGTGGTGTCAGGAATGGAACCTCAGTCCCTGGGTGCTTACCTAAGCAGGCACTTTAGACTGCTGAGCTATTTCGCTGGCCCCAGAGGATAGTTTTGATTCACATTTTCCTAATGGGTAAATATATTGAACATTTTAAAAATATACTTATTGGGCATTTATATTTCTTCTTTTGAGAAGTATTTGTTCATTTGCCCATTTGTTTATTTATTTATTTTGCGGAACCGGGGATTGAACTCATGCCCTTGCGCTCGCCAGGCAAATGCTTAATCTACTGAACTATCTCCCTGGCCCCATTTTTGCCCATTTGTTTATTTTGCCATTTGATATTTTGGTGTTAAATTTTTGTAGTTCATTATATACCCTAGCTATTAATTCTCTGTGGGATAATTATCTGGCAAAGATTTTTTCACTTTTTTTTTTTGTACTGGGGGTTAAACTCAGGACCTTGCACTTACTGGGCAGGTGCTTAAACTACTGAGCCTAAGGATTTTTTTGCTCCTCTAATTCCTTCAGGGAACTTTTGGCTGGCTGCAGGGTTGTGGGGATCGAACTACAACCACCTGAGGCTGACAGCTTTGTGGAAGCAGCCACTAAAAGAACTGAGCTAGGGCCAGCCCCCCCCCCCCCACTGCTGAGCTTAAGTAACCTGATTTTCTCACATTTCGTGGGCTGTCTCCTCACTGTTAGTTGTTTGTCGTGCTGTGAATATACTTGTGAATGTGTGTATATGTGTGTGTTTCCGGGGATTGAAACCAGGACCTCCAGCCTTCTTGTGCATGTGTGCATGTGAAACAAAATGTATTTTGTTTAAGGTCTTGCTAAGCTACCTAAGTTGCCCTGGTTGGGCTCTAATTTTTGATCCTCCTGCCTCAGCTTCTCGAGTGCAAGGATTACAGCTGTGCGCCACTACACCCAATTTATGTACCCAAATTGTAAAAAGAGGATTTCTAATGCATTCACTAATGCAACTACTTGGAGTGTCTGATCTAATGGATGGGGTAGAAAATTTATCTATTGCTGCGTCTGGTGGTGCACAGCAGTAATCTCAGCACTTTGGATGTCAAGGCAGGAGAATTACAAACTCGAGGCCTGGTTGGAGGATTATTTATTTATTTTGTACTGGAAATCAAACAGGACTTTGATTGAGCTTGCCAGGCAGGCACTTGTGATGCTGAGCTACATTCCTGTCAGCCTGAAGGATTTTGGAAGATCCCTTCTGAAAACTAAAAAAAAAAAGTACTTCGGTAGGGTTGAGATAGTATAGGCCGCCCTCAAACTCAGCAATTCTCCTAACTCAGCCTCTCAAGCACTGGCATGATAGGCATCTCAAAAAAATTTTTAATGGGTTGGGGATGCAATTCATTATGAAGGCCCTGGGTTTAATCCCCAGAAAGGGGGGGGGGGAGGCAAGTTGGTTCAGCAAAAGGAAAAGCTAAGTGTAAGTGAGGTGGTTGTAAACAAGGGTTTTATTTCTTTTCTTTTTGTTTTTTTTTTTTCTTTTCGCTTCTTTTTCTTTTTTGAGACAGGGTCTCACTACATAGCCCGGGCTGACCTCGAACTCGCAGTGATCTTCCTGCCTCTGCCTCCCCATTGCTGGGATTACAGGCATGCTGCACCACGCCTGGCTCTAAACCCATTTCTGCCACACTGCAACCTTCACTGGTTGTAGATTCAGCCTGAGCCTTTATTTTCTGAAATTTTATGCTCAGGTTTTAGGTTAGTCCTCAAATCAAGCATTCCGTATTCCCTTCAGATTCGACAGCAGCTTGAGAACTCGCTAGCTACAACTAAAGGAGTGAATCCTCAGCCGCAAAATGCAACCCTTCCAAGGCACTTCCGGGCCTCGCGTTGCCTACGGACTTTGAAGTCTTCGGAAACGCACTTCCGGATGCTTAAAACAGAACTGAAGGCTTCGGCGCGCGAGCTGCAACCGGGTGACTCGACTCATCGACTGCGCATGCGTCCCGCAGAAGCGAGGCGGCGGGCTTCTGGGCAGGTGGGCGGGACTCTGGCTGGGTGGGCGGGGCCTTTGGCTAGTACCGCTGTGACTGGGCGGGAGCGAGCGCGCGAGGCGCAGGGCGGGGCCTCGTCTGAGTGGGCGCTGCGGGCTTCTGTGGCGTGTCACTGTGCTCGCGGGCCGAGGTCGCCTCAGGTGAGGAGGTCGTGCCGGAAGTCGCTCTGGCTCGACGCCTGGGTGACGTGAGGAGTCTTTGCCTGGCTTTGTTGTCAAGGGGCCGCGGCATCACCCAGCCCTCTCCCCCTTCCCTTGCAGCAGCCATGGCGAAAGGCAGAGCCGCCGAGCGCTCTCAGACCAGCGCCCTCCACGCGAACGCAGTGAGGGACGGGACGGCGGGGACGCGGGGGCCCGCGGCGCCGGGCAGCGGAGCCCACCTGAAGGGTGAGTGTGCTCGCAGGGCGCCGGGGGGAAGGGACGCCGACGGGTCTCGGGGTTGCGGGGAGGGAGGGGCCCGCTGGCGTGGCCGCGAGCGAGGCGGTGGGGTCCTCGGCTAGATCGGCGGCAAATGTGTTTAAGACTGAATTCAGTTAAAAGAAATGACAAAGATTGTAGGGTCGATAACGCAGCTAGACAGATCAGGAAGGAACAGCATTCGTTGCGTTGTTACAGCGAAGGAACCGAGGCCCCGGGTAAGGTACCGCGTGTGTATTGTCACCGAGCCAGTAAGGTAGTTAAGAGCAAGGTCTTGACCTAACAGGTAATAGGGAGCACCTGGATTTGAGTCCCATTTTTATCTTTTACTTGGAAGCTTGGACTTGTTAACTTTCAAACGCTCAGTGTCTGAATTGAAAAGTGGGGATAATACTGTCTGGTTAACCCGCTGATGCTTGGGCCAAATGAAATAATTCATGTTAACAATGACTTATATATGTTTTTGTACGGTACTCGAACTCAGAGCCTTGCACTGTGCCGCTAAACTGTATTCCTGGCCCCTAAATTAATGATGTATTTGTTACAGGGTCTCACTGCGCAGCTGGTACTGTGGTGATCCTCCTGTTTTTAACCTCCCCAGCGCTGGGATTACAAGCGTGGGTTACCATGCCTGGTCTTGGTGGCCCGCTCAGCGCTCCCAGGGTTTGGGGCCAGAGCGACATGTGGTGCTTGCTTAAGCAGTCATTTAGTCTGCTGAGCGAGCTATCTTCTGCTGAGCTATCTCGCTGTCCTTCCCTAAACAGTGTTTTAATGGAAAAAGTATACTTAGAAACCAAATGCTTTGATTACATCTTGGCATAAGATTTTTTTTTTTTTTTTTTTGGCAGAACCGGGGATTGAATTTAGCCCTTGCACTTGCCAGGGAAGTGCTTATTCCACTGAGCCATCTCCCCGGCCCTTACATCTTGGCATAAGATTGCTTAATGGTTTATAGTAGTGGAAGTGATTGAGGTCTCAGTGTTTTTTTGGTTTTATTTTTTGTCTGTTTTATACAGGGTTTCACTGTTTAGGCTAGCTTTCAACTCAAGGCAGTCCTACTGCCTCAGACTCCTGAGTGAAGAGATTACAGGTATGCGACAGCACATCTGGCAAGCTCTTAGTGCTTTTATTTTTTATTTTTTTGAGACAGGGACTTGCCATGCAGTTCACGCTGAGGAGTCCAGGGTGTAGTTTTCAATTTAGAGGACTTAATTTAGGGCAGATGGTGACTCACTTTGTAGTCCAAGTTGATTTGGAATTCTCAAGGATCCTCCTGTCTCAGCCTCCCCAGCGCTGGATTATAGGCATGGGCCACCATACTCAGTTTCCGGGACTTGCTCAGCTCTGGGGGCTGGCATGGCATGCAACACCAGGTATCAAACTCAAGTCCTTGAGCTTGCCAGGCAGGTGCTTAGCCCGCTGAGCTATCTCCCTGGCCCCAACTCTTTTAAGTTTTTTAAAGCTCATAAAGAAACTATCTGACCGAGTGTGTCAGCACAAGTCTCTAATCCCAGAACTCTGGAGGCTGAGGCAGGATTGCCATGAGTAATTGGAGACCAGCCTAGGTTACATAGTGAGTTCAAAGTCAGCCTGATCTATCTAGTGTATCCCTGTCTCAAAAAACAACCGCCCTCAAGGAAAAAATCTTAGAGCCCAGTTTGGTGCCACACACTTGTAATCCCAGCACTTGGGAGGCTGAGGCAGAAGGAACACTGTGAATTCGAGGTGATCCTGAACTACAGAGTGAGAACCTGTGATAAAAAACCCTAAAGCCAGAAAACAACAAAAATCCTTAGAAATAAATTGTTGCTATAGCATAAATCTGCCCTAAATTATGTCCTCTCAATTGAAAACTACTTCTGAGAGTGACAATAATCTAAGGTTTGGGTTTTCTGAAAAAGTTTTCCAAGTAGGGCAATTTTAAAAGTTTGTCATTTGGCTTGAGTTAGTAGTCAATTATTTATTTTTTTAAACTTTAACTCAGAAAATCAAACCTTGAAACTCCAAAAGTGCCTTTTATCATGATTTACTTTATTAATAGAATAGCACAGTCAACACATTTATTCTTTTTTATGTGTGTTGAGTTTGGGGATTGAACCTGGGCCTTTGCACTGAGCTGTATCCTCAACCTTTTCCTGATCTGAAGATTTTTTTTTTTTTTAAGTTTTTTATTAGTACATGTTTGCAACACATAGTAATTACATTCATCTTAGGAAAGTGGCACATATACATATTACATCTTAAGCATTTTTAAGTACCTTGCCTATCTACCCTTTAACAAATACTTTTAAAAACTTTTTGGAAAAAGTCTTGCTCAGTTACAGTTGCTGGAACTGGGCTTGAGCTTGCAGTCCTCTTGCCTCAAGCTCCCAGAGTGCTGTGATTGCAGTCATGTGTTAGCATGCCCAGCTCACACTTAACTTTTTATGCTGCTGTCAGATGACTTCTGCAGGACACGCATCTGGGAGGTGTGAAGGCTTGTCTTGGAGAAATAAGGTTTGAGTAAGTGGGAGAGAAGGAGTTGCTAGACTAGGGGAAGCAGTAAACGTATAGTGTGACCTTTTTGAGTGTGTTGGTAAAGAGATTAATTTGTCATGAATGAAGAGTTTCTTTTGGGTGGCAGACCTATTCTTTTCTTTTTTTTTTGTTTTGGTGGAACCTGGGAATGAACTCAGGCACTTGCGCTTGCCAGAGAAGCGCTTTTTCTACTGAGTCATCTCCCTGGCCCCCAGACCTATGCTGATGGCATTAAATTATATTAAGGTAGGGGGCTTTTTGATCCAGTCTGCTGATTAGTGATTACTCCTTTTTTACTCCCCTCTTTGCTTTCTCTAACTAAATGTTAAAAATTCTAAGCCAGTCGTGGTGGCACATGCCTGGAATCCCAGCATTCAGGGGGCAGGAGGATTGTTGTGAGTGCAAGGCCACCCTGGGCTACAAAGTGAGCTCAAGGTTAGCCTGAACTACACAGCAAGACCCTGTCTCAAAAGGACAAAAAAGAAAAGAAAGAAAAGAAGTTCTGTATAGCCAGGTGTGATGTTGCATACTATAATCGCAGTACTCCTGGAGTGCTGAGGTAGGCTACTTGACTTTTGAGGCCATCCTGTGCTACATAGTGAGTTCAAGGCTAGTCAGACTGCATAGTGAAACTGTGTTTCCCCACCCCCAAAGAAATAGTATACAGGGCCCAGATATAGCTCAAAGATAAAACACTTGTTGAACATGTAGGTTCAGTTATTATTTTTTTAATTTTAATTTTTGATTAGTACATGTTTGCAGTATGTAATGATTATATTCATTATGGGGAGTTGGTATACTGCTCCCTCAACTGTTTTCTTCCTTTTTTTCTTTTTAAAAGTTTTTGTGGCTCTGGAGATCAAATCCAGGGTCTTATATATGACAGGCAAGCACTCTATCATTGAACTACATCTCTAGCCCCTCAATTATTTCTTGATATATTTTTCATTTTTCATATTTTTTTCTTTTTTCATTTATGTAGATTTTGTATGTAGCAGATCAAAATGTACATGATTTTTTTTTTTTTTTTTCCTGGAACTGGGGATTGAACTCAGGCCCTTGTGCTTGCCAGGGAAGCGCTTATTCTACTGAGCCATCTCCCCGGCCCGCAGATCACAATGTAAAATAAATGTTCTTTATAGTGGAACAGAAAAATTTAAGAAACATTCTTTTTGTTTATCATTCCTTTATTTATTGGTGGTACTGGGAATCAAACCCAATGGTACCTTAACCACTGAGTTACCAGTTTTTTCTTTTGAGATAGAGTCTTGATATAATTTACCCAGGCTGGCTTCCGATTTGCAGTCCTCTTGTCTCAGCCTATTGAATAACTAGGGTTGTAGGCTTATACTATCACGCCTAGCTATCAGGAAGCACTTTCTTGAAGTTGCTTTTACTGCTTTTAAAAGGCCACATTGTTCAAACTGAAATAATAAAATTTGTCTTAGATTTCTGTTCTGGATCCTGCCTTGCTACTTTACTTCATTAAGTAACTCCTTAAGCATTCACAGTGAGCATAGTGCTTGCTGGCTTAGAGGAAGAAGAAAGCTCTGAGTACAGAGAAAGAGATATAAGTAAAATTTGCAGTGGAACCTTAAGTTAGCCAAGGTATTAGTATGATTTGTTGATGCCAGTCTCAACACAATTTCTTTCTTTCTTTTTTCTTTTTTCTTTTTGCAGAACCAGGGATTGAACTCAAGACAAATTTTATGTATTAGGCTTTTTTTTTTTTTTTTTTTTTTTTTTTATTTTAGTACATAGTGCATACAAAACTCAATTGAAAAGGAATTGCTGAGGGGCCGGGGAAATAGCTCAGTTGAATAAGCGCTTGCCTGGCAAGCGCAAGGGTGTGAGTTCAATCCCCGGCTCCACAAAAAAAAAAAAAAAAAAAAAAAAAAAAAAAAAAAAAAAAAAAAAAAAGAAAAAGAAAAAGAAAAGGAATTGCTGAAAGAGAAATTGTTCATGTAACTTAAAAATCAGTAAAGTAGGAACTAGTGGTATCAGGCTGGTATCAGTGGGCTCAGTGCTGTCTCAGCATCAGGTTTTTTTCATATCTTGGTTTGCTTACTTGATGTCAGCTTTACTGTAAGTTTAGTTCTTCTTGAATTCCACGCAAACTAAGTGCTTTCTTGTTCTAAGAATCTTCGTCCTAGGACATTCATTATAGGGAGTTGATATAACTAGAACAGGGATGGACAACCCTTTTAGAGCTTTCTGTGATACAACCATGCCATAGGTTCGTTACTGCTGTTCTTGAGTTACCAAAGTCTCCATATTCACTGATTGGATTGCCTTACATCAAGTGATCATCTCTGAACTTTTCACTGTTGTCAGATAGCGAGAAAAACCTAATTGGCTGGTTCTGAGTCATGTTACATACCCAGAAAAGGAACTGGGAATGGGCTCAGTTTTCCCAATGGTATAAGTCAGTCATGATTTTCCTCTGTCTTGAT